ATTAAAATTCTTACGTCGTTATCACTTAGGTAACTAAATATTTGTTCAATACACTCATGTGGTAGCTCAGGGAAGTTACAGAAAAAATAGAAAATTTTAGTGCCTTGTTCGAGCAACTCTTTCCTTTCCATACCTTTTCTAAACATATTTTTTATCATGCTAGCGTATATTGGAAATTTTGTTTTATACTCGTCTGATCTTAAAACCTGCACTACATTTACATTTCTCATGTATATTGCTAATCGAGTTGTATCTTTTATCAAGATATCGTAAAATGATATGTTAATATTACTAATTTTCTCATTCTTCATGATAGCTACTTCTTTTTCACATTTATCCTGTAAATCCTTCATGTTTTCGTAATTACACCTCATTGATAAGTGTTCACTTACGTATAACTTTGCAGTTTTCATCTTAACTATATGCTGCTTAAGAATCTCAGCAATTTGTTCACAATAGAAGCTTTCATAAAAGCGACGATAATTTTTATATGATATAGTATTAATGTTAGCACCTCTGTCTAACAGCATCTTAACAGTATCTACATGTCCTTGGTAAACAGCAAACCACAGTGGTGTATCACCTAGTGTAAAGAAAGAGATAAATGTCGCATTAACATAAAACTCCATGTTTTAAAAGATGTTCATCAATCTGTAAATATCTTTTCTCAGCTGCAATTTACAGTTATACCTGACTTATTACTGGCATTAACGTTAGCTCCATGATTTAAAAGTAATTCAGCAATTTCTATTTCCTCATTATCCATCGCATCGTGAAGCGGAGTTGTTCCAAACAACTGTGTTTGAGTATTAACGTTAGCACCTCTGTCCAACAGCATCTTAACAATTTCTATGTCACCTATTATAACAGCAAAATGAAGTGGAGTATTATAAGATTTGTTAGTGTAGCTGTTAACTTTACAACCGTTTGTTAAAAGTAGTTTAATGACTTCTGTATGCCTATTCCGAATAGCAACACAAAGTAAATCATATCCTTGTGACCATGTTTGTAAATAAGATAGTCCAAGATAAGTAAGTAACTCCCTTGCTCTTTCTAGGTTTCCTTCACGAACTGCACATTTTAACCTGTAGTTTGTATCAATATAGGCCATGATAAAAATAGTGCTCAGTTTGCATCTGCTTTTCTCTAAAATCTTTCGTCTATATTTCTTTCTCTGCTTATGTTTAGTTTTGGTTTTGCTATAAATATTTGTATGTATTAACAATTGTAAAATTTAAATTAGTCAGATGTATGTATATACCGAGCGCGGGAATACGTAGCCAAGAAGAGAGGACGTAAAGCCTGTGTCACACTACGGATTGGAATTGAGATTGTATTGAAATTTGGCCAATCAGAAGAAAGAAAATCAATCTTAAGTTTAGTGATCTTCGCTCTGATTGGCCAAAGTGCAATCCAATCTCAATCTTAATCCGTAGTGTGACATAAGCTTAAGAGTGTGTTTCGTTTCGTCTAATGGCTAGTTTACAATGAAGATAGTAAAGCCCCTTACACATTGAAAGGAATAGCAATAGCAATAGAAATAACACCAATTTTAAAGAGTTTATATCTATAAATACCGGTAAGAACAGCGGAATCTAACATATAAAAATACACACGTATCAATGCAGATCAGAAAACGGAATAAGCAATAGCGACAAAATTTTCGATGAGTTGGAATTCTGTGTCTATTGCTTATCGCTATCACTATTCCCTCGCATTGTGCAAGAGGCTTTAAGACTGTAGGAGTAGAGAGTAAATTATTTTCCGGTGAAGAACCGACGGGAATAACAAAATGGGCAATTCCCATTTCGCACTGCCTACTGCCTTACTGTTAGCCAATGAAAGACGTGTGTTAAAAAACGCGAAATAATTACAATTCTTATACCTTTTATATTACTGTTTATAAGACACAAAGAACAATATATATTATTTTTATAAACAGCAAATTAAAACTTTTACACTTATAAAAATATTTATTATTTTTGAACGTTTTGTTAAGAGCCGTCTACAATGGAGAGTTGTAGGCCGTAATAGTAAGAAATTGACCAATCACAGATTAAGTACAGAAGAATAATCGATTGTGATTTGTCAATTTCTTACTGTTACGGCCTACAACTCTCCATTGTAGACGACCCTTTATGTGATCCTCGCGCCTATTCTTTGAATTAATGACGCCGTCTGTACATCATAGTACTGGAAACGGTAACAATGCCGGTGTACTTTATTGTAAAACTCAGACTGAGGGCGACGTCCCATTGAGCGGAAAGCTATAGCGGAACGGAATGTGCGGAACCAGCTCGACCAATCATAGCCATTCCGTTTTCTTTCCTTCGCTTATTCTGTGGTTACGATTGGTCGAGCTGGTTCCGCACATTCCGTTCCGCTATAGATTTCCGCTCAATGGGACGCCCTGAGGAACGTACACTGCGCGTCAGGAATTCGAAGAGTAGGCGAGGGATCGGAGGGGAGCAAGCGGGGCGGTTGCTCGCCAACAAGCGCCGTACGAATCGTACGGCCCCCGCTTGCCCTCCAATTGGATGGCGGATTAAATAAATATGACGTATATTTTCATCAAATATATGTATTTTTGGATTCATTTCTATAAATAGCTGACGGCGCAATAACTCTCTCTGGTCCAATATTATATTATTAATACAATATATATTAGGTGCGTGTATATTTTTCAAATGTTTTCGTCTTTTTACTTTTTCCTACCACCTCTTTCTTTCGGCAACAGATTGATAACATTGCCCGAAGTTAAATTATAATACGCGAGGGTGTTACTATCCTTGAAGAACATTCCCTAGAAATTGAAAGTCAAGAGTTTGTAGAATCTGATATTTACTTGCAATCTCATTTCTGTGTTTGTAAACTTTGATTAACGATCGTTAAATATGTATATATACAGGGTGTCCCAGAATTGGTTTAACATCTCTCGTAGGCAGGTAGAAGGAATAAAACTGAGTCGAAAAGTCCTATATCATTTTGCTAGATT